GAGAAAAATTTATATGATATTTAGGCTATCCTCCGGTGTACGGGGTATAGCATTATCTCATAGTTTGTCGAGAGACTGTCTCATAGTTTGTCTAGGGACTAGAACCTAACTATCTTCACCGGTTTAATGAGGAGAATAGTCTAGGGTGTGAGACACTCCAGGGATTCGAGAATGGGAGAAGCTGTGGTCCAAGAGTAAGTCATGTGATTTAAGGCCAGGTTACACCTTACGATTGGTGAGCTTAGGTAGTCCAATCATATAGACGGAGCCCTATTCAATGTTATAGCCCACGATTTTAGTCTTAAAAAATAAGAAGGATATGAGGTTAGTTGATTATTGCCTGAGTAAACATATGACGTGTCACATGTGTTAAGTTGTAGCAAGTCACGTAAATAATGGGTCAAGGTCACATATCTAAGAATATGGTGACAATGCACCTAGTATATGTAAGTTAAAGAAGTTATTAAATGAAAAATGACAAGTTGTGATATGTGTGAGCATGTTTTACTTACCTGGTTTCTTATGCATGTACTTGTTTTATAATTGATATATAATTACATAGGGTAGGCTCTACCTTAGTTACTGAGTGGCTAAACTCACTCCTTTCATTTAACACTTTTCAGGCTCTAGCTCTAATGCTGAGAGGGAGAAGGCTAAAGAGGCTAGGAATTAGCATATTTCTTTATGTATGCCTCTAGCTTAGTTTATTTTGTGTAATTATATATGTTTGCCAATTCTAGGATGTATGTCATCACACTTGCACTATTTTATTGTTGGAAATGTTAGATTTATATTTTGGGCCTTGAATCTTTGTGTATGTTGATATATATATTTGTTAATAGGGCTAAAATACTAGTACAAGTGTAGAAATAGACATTTGAACATATTTTGATTATTTTAGGTGTAAAGTAATGCCAATTTACCTCCTCCTCTATTTTTAGTGAAAAAGGGTTGAGGAGTAAATTTCTATTATATTGTGGTTTTAATGTGTGTGACATGTTGTACTAGTAGTCCTGAGTACAATGGATATGGTTCAGGTGTTAGGAAAGGCTTTTGACACATGTTGAGGGTTTTGGACACTCATTTTGTGTGAAAGTTGTAAAAAGTGATTAAAATATGTTTGAGTGTTCAACTTTTTAGTGTGATTTTTTTAAAAAGTGAAACACATACCACTAGTTAGCTTATGTAAAGAGCTTTCTATAGACATCTAGATCACATCATTCGGATGTTGGATGGAGAATCGGAGCGCATCAAAAGTTCCTCAATTATATGTCAAATAATAGTAGAATCAATTGAATTTTCATGCAACATGCCACGGCACATGATGCACGAGCCACAGCACAGTGTGCACGAGCTGCAGCGCATTGCCTTGTAACACAGCACAAGTTCTATTTTTCAACCATTTTTGATTCCTTTTACTCCTTTGAGGTATCTCATGCTTTTAAAACTTATTTGACTCTGATATGAAGGATTTTAACTTATTTAAACTCATTATTATTTAAAAAACTTGGGATCTCTTGTTTTTGAATTAAATCTTGGTAATCACTCTTTGGGTCAATCCTTTGATTACCATGAGTTTTATTAGTTAATTGTGTTTAGTAGAGTAAGAATATTACACATCCTCATCACTAACAACCCAGGGCATGAAATACATTCAATTCATTAAGATATGAGTGCAAATATTTTAAATGGATTATGATATCCTAATTAGCAAATGAAAAATCCAAATACCCATAAAGGTAAATCTAAAGGCCTACTGATAGGTTTTACATAGGATCCTAGGCCTTTGGTCATTATCCTCGATCCTAATTCTATGAACTAGGCCCTGTAATATTGAAGAGTAAGGGGTAAGTATAACTACTTAGTAACCAATGTAAATTTAGTCTATACAATTATATATCAATTAATTATAGTTGTAAATGGAAATAACTTCACAAGCATCATATGTATATATTTCAAATGTAGCCTCAGTCATAAAACTAACAATCATGTGACCCAACATAATCATATATTATCACATATATTTTAAAAATACACATCTTGAGGCCGTAATAATAACAATTATGTGATCAAAAATATAAATACATGATCAATACCAATCTTATACCCTCTTGATATCTCTAATATAAAATTGGTGGTTATTTAGTAGCTACGTTCACAACTCAGACTAACCCAGCCTTTCATTCATGAGGAGTTATTGGGACAGGGTAAACCCACTCACTTGTGATTCACGATTTTTCTCAATATTAACAATTATGAAGTGTCATGCCTCTAATATAACCTTAGATTCGAGCTTCTCAAAGAATAAGTGGGATAGTCCCCAATCAATTATGAAACAATGGCTACCTCTCAATTTCAACAGCCAGTACTAAGGCAAGCTTCAGATTCCAACAATAGGTTGCCAACACTACGTGAATTTATCAACTTACTCCTCTCTCTATAGGCAAACTTCTCCTTAATGATCATGCTTTGCATATATTAACACATAGTATGCATAAATATAGACAATCATTACTTATAGTGAATGATCTTCATCACACTTCACATAACTCAATATGCCCAACATCATATTCTTTAATTTTCATAGATACATGCTTACTTAATGGCATTCTCATATATATATATATATATATATTTGCACAACACACAATCTATTACTTTACCAACTTTGTATCAAACAAGTTTAAAAACACTAATAAATTTCAAATTAATCTCTCTAACATATCATTAATTAATACACAAAAGCATAAACTAATTTTTTTTAGTTATCTCAAACTTTTGAAAGGTCAAAAGTTTACCCCTAAAAACATAAATTTCTAAAGCTCTTCAGAACTTTGAATGGTGCCAAGTTAATTAATCTACAATCCAATCACAAAAATATTCATTAATACCCTTATTCGAATAATTTCATGCTTAATCAACCTTTCAAACTTACATACAATGCAATTCTCTCATTTTTCAATGTGCCCATTAAGTCCATTATATTTCCTTAACTCACATTACCATTAATAAGCCATTAAAGCTCTATTACTAACATTTCAACTCCTCTAACCACCATCATAAATGCAATTTTTAGATATTAATAAAATTTATCAACTAACAACTCATAAAACTATTAATGCTAGATTTAAATAACCTAAACAATTGTCATCAACTTTATTTAAGTCAATTAGTTTAGACCTATAGCTTATATGGATTGAAAATCACTATTTTAACTTAACCCTAACTCTTAAACTAGAAAACATAGAGGAGGAAGAGAGGGCATAAGGGACTTACCTTTGATGTCAGGAGGCTCCAAATATTCCTAAACCTCTAATATAGCAAGCCCTAACAGAGCATAAGATGTGCTCTTTGTTCTCTCCTTTCTTCCTCTTTGTTTTTGAGTTTTGATGTAGAGTCATTTATAAAAAAATTGATCATGCACCATGATGCATAGCACAGAGAGGCCATCCCTCGTTGCTTGCCCTCTATGTGCCATAGCGAATATGCTTCAAACCATGATATGTGGCATAGAGACTTCCTTTTGATACTTGAATGACCTGACTTCGCTTCATACTTATGTTAAGGGCTGAAATCACATCCCAACACACTTATTAGATCTCTCTAACCACATATCATATTAATTCATTTAATTATCTTAATTAAGATTAGTTAATTAGGTTTAAATTTTTTAGGATGTTACATTGATACCATCTCAACTTATGGGACAAGGTAGCATTGTTGATCAAAAAGTTGCTAGCAATGATATCGACAATACAACAATGACTTGAATAGAGGGGCACAACCAAAGGGAGATGCAAACGCAGTGAGGAGTGGATAGGCCATAAAGGCATTTTAGTCAAATGAAAAAATAGTTAAATGAATAAAATAATAATCTTGATCGTTCAATGACATTTGGTCCTTAGAACCAATTTTCATTTTAACTTAATCTTTTTAACCAATTTTGCCAAAAATATTTTTTTTAACCAATTTTGCCAACAATATTTCGTATCATTTTTATGAAAATGGATAGGTAGATATTACATCTTATTTAGTGACTAAATTCTTAGTATCATCTTCCATTAAAAAAAAAAAGTTTAATCCGTAGACTTTGGTCAGCAAACGGGGACCATCTTAGAAATTAGATTTGTTGAAAGTTTGACTGTGAAAAAGAATGCAGAATACGCAAACTTTATTATGGGTAAATTATCTTTTAATAAAGATATTTAAATCATATTTATGTAAATTTAAAGTCTTTAAATTTTTAAAATTTTGCTGCAATTCATGGACACTAATTTGATATTAAATTTATAAAAAAATGATAAAATTATCTTTAATTTAAATTAATATTAAAACGTCACTACTTTACTTATTCATTGTATTACTTCACTTATTAATTTACTTATTAAATGTTATTAAATGTCCAAGTTAACTTATTTTCATTTTAGGTGTTTAAATCATTGTAAGATAACTTATTGATTCTTATACTGTATATTATTTATTTACTTAAGGACTATTGTTCATTGTGCTATTTCATTTATCATTATCAAACTTTTGCTTAATTTTATTTTAGAAAAAAGAATAACTAAATTAAAAAAATTAATAATATTTCATAAGTAAATAAATAAGTGAAATGTGGTAATGAATAAATGAAATAAGAGAGTTTCAATATTAGGACCAATTATATATATATATATATATATAAATTTAATATTAAATTAATACTTCTGAACGGTGATGAAATTTAAAAAATTTGTGAACTTTAAATTTAAATGAATACAATTCGTTTATTGAAATTCTACCTTTCGAAAATCCGTTGTCTGGGTCAATTGTCAAAATTGAAAAGCAAAACCCTTGACTATGTCCGAACCAAATTGCGAGCATATGATTCCCCATTCCACACGCTAACTAGACAAGAAAAGAAATTGAACAACTATCGCCCAAAGTCAGTGTCCACCCTTACCCGTGTAATGGAATTAAAATGAGAAAAAAAAATGTAAATATAAATATAATTGAAAGTAAAACAAACCCAATCAACAGGCAGCCTCCAAGAGATCAGAGCTCCTCAAGCTCTTGTTGGACCTCAATTTGCTGTTGTCTCTCTTCCTCTGGTTTTGATAATCTCTGATAAAAAAAGCTTGAGGAGAGACAAACCCTTCGACCTTGCTGCCTGATTTCCATGGAGGTCTACGACAGATCTAGGCCTTATGGAAATGGGCAAACGATGCAGATAGAGAGCTACTATGGACCACCTGGACCTTATGCTATAAGGAGCTACAGCACTTCTTATGCACAAACGCAGATGGGTTCTATTCATAGGGACTTGAAGTTGAAGAAGGGCAAGAGCATTTCTGGGTCTTCTTTTTCCAAGTCCTGGAGCTTCAAGGACCCTGAGCTTCAGAGGAAGAAAAGGGTTGCTAGCTACAAGATGTACTCTGTTGAAGGGAAGGTCAAAGGTTCACTGAGGAAGAGCTTCAGGTGGCTTAAGGATAGGTACTCGCGGGTGATCTATGGCTGGTGGTGAGTTGCTGGGTTCAATTCTCTGAATTTTCGTCTGTATCTGAATTCATGTTCACAAGTTTGAATTTTGTGCCGGTGAGGAGAATTCTAGACTTAAGGGTTATGATCAGTTTTATTTTCTGTAAGTTGGAAAACCTGCTACTTTGTCGGGTCCTGATCCTTCTCAAGGGTGATCGAATTATAGATATTTCCTTCTTTCTTCAACGCTTATCAAGCTTTGTTTATGTACTAATTAATTAATAATGCAAAGAAAAAAGCTTTAGTCGTGAAGAGATTTTTATGTTTTATTTCCATGCCGTTTCGCCTCTTTCTTTCTGCTTCATGTTTGTAAGAGGTGAGACAGCACTTGACAAGCTATATGAGAGTTCTTTGCTTTCGTGATTCTGGTTGTTCAAGGTAATTCAATTAATTGATGATATTCCATGTTTCACCAAGTTTTAAACTAGAAGCAAATATGCATGCCCTTTGCATTGATGGCACCAGAGCACCTCCATGGATGTTACTATTGCCTCGTGATTGTTGGCGATATGGATCTTTAACATTAGCCATGCATATCCTGTGTGTCCAGAAATCTCCATAGGGTGTTTTGACTTTTGAGGTAGTTTCAGTCTTGATAGACATAATCTGTCTTCTTGCCATAGACTTCTTGGGCATAAATTTCTGATAAACTTGTGAACCTAAGCTGAACAGAGGTCATCTCTTGGGATCTTATTGAAGAGTGACGCATGACTTATTTGGTTTCAATGAAGGCGTTTATGGTGATCTTTGAGTGATCACAAAACTCTCACCAAACAATAAGCTCAAGCTAAACCAACACCACCATTGATTACAGAACTAGCTGTGCCACTGCTAGGGCTTCCTTCGCACTTGCTCTATGTTGACAGCTATATCTGTGTAGTGTGAATTATTTTTTGTGGAATTCCAGATCAATTTTTCACAAAGTGAGGACATGCAATGATTCTTCGGCTCCAGACTGTCCTGTTATCTGTATAAGCATTTTGCCGTTGCCCTCGCTTTGTTGCAGAAAGAGTGCAGCGCCTAATAATTATTGAAATAACTCACGCGCCAGCTCATACGGACGGACCACAAGCCAATATGCTCAACACTGCTTTTCATCGTATTTTGCCTCTTCTTCTTCGTCTTGATGCTTCAATTAATAGCTGTCAGTAATGAATGGAATGCTTCACTTACGTTTCAAGCATTTATCAGAGTTTCTTCCGTCTTGGAGGCAAATGTAACGCCACCCAAAAAATTTTGCTGTAAAGCTTGGGGGCTTGGCTTATTATAGATATACTCCGTCCATCCTCATATATAACGTATTTTTAAAAAATTTATTTTATTTTAAAATATAAGAGGTGACAATAATATTTTTAAATAATTAAATAATTTTACCCTTATTTTAAAAAATAAAATAAATAAATAATTATATATTTTTTTAACCACCGTCATGATATTAATTATAATATTATTAGGGGTAAAATTAAAAAATTATTATATTTTTATGTGAGTTTAACTAAATAATAAATATTTATTGGTGTGCAAAATTCAATTAAAAATATTTTATATATAAGAATGAAAGGAGCAGTATGCATATTTTGTTTGATTAGTGAGGTTGCACTTAGAGCAACATTTCTCTCAATAACAATGTCATAACATAATGCGGAAACCGGGGCACCAAGGGAGGGGGGCCAATTTTACAGTATGCATTGACTCAAGGCCTATTTAGCTTATCTTCCAAAAGTACATTCAAATTATATTTAAAATATATTTTTATCAAATTTAATAAATAGTTAGATTTCCTAAATTACTTTTAATAGATGTAAACTGAAATTCAAGAGAGCATTAAGTTATTTGATTTTTTATTAATAACAACAATAATAATAAGCTTTTATCCCATTAAGTGAGGTTGGCTACATAGAATGTAAGACGTCATTGTGCTATATCATTTACCAAATTTTTAAAAATATTATTAATTGAGAAATCACGTTTAATAATTTTCAAAAGTATTTTTTTAGGCCTTCCTCTACCCCTCTTAACAAGGCTTAAAGTCATAATCTTCTCACTAGTGCCTCTCGTAGTCTTTTTTTTACATGTTCAAATCATCTCAAACGATTTTCTACCATTTTTTTCTTCAATAGGTGCTACCCTCACTTTTTCGCTTACGTGCTTATTTTAAATTTTATCTTTATGTGTATGTCTGCACATCCATCATAAATTTATAAGATAACAGATTATTTATATAAAATTTAAAAAATATCATCTATGTAAATATCAATATATTAACTTTGAAATTTTTCAATAATATTTTCCAAAAATTCAAGAAAAAAGCTTTGCAAAGAATATATAAAATTTTACGCTTTTATGATTTAAAAAATGATTATGATAAAAATTAAATGAAATTAATAAATTATTTAGATTTTCATCTACCATTGTCTATAGAGATACTTTTTTTGTGCTATTTATAAGTCATTTTAAACAAGTTTTATCATAATCAAAGAAAATCTTAAAACTCATTAATTTTGTCTAAAAATTTAATAACTTTTTAATTTTACTCCTATTAAATATACATTCTTTAATATTATACTCTCTCTATTATTTAATGAAAAGTAAAAGAGAAAATTTATGATAAAAATTTAATGATATGATTTGTAAATAGAGCTAAAAAAAATTTTGTTCTCCACTCAATAAATAGAACCATAAGGAATAATAAGAGATAAATGAAAGTAACTAATGTTGAAGAAGAAGAGATTTGTTTTTATTAAGTGAAAAGAGAACGCAAGCATGTAGGGATTAGCGAGGGACTTGGTTTTTTGCTCATCACTAGGACGAGCATTGATGCTTATTCTATAATGAGGTCTGGATCATTTAAATTTTTAAATTTAAAGTATTATTATATATTTTTATTTTATATTTATTAAAATAAAAATTATAAAATAATTTTAACAATTTTTTTATTTTTATCTAATTTAGATTTAATTTGGAGGATCTAATTTAATATTAAATTTTTTATAATTGATATATATTAACTATCTATATGTACTCTGTATAGTTCATAGTAAAAAATTTGAACTATACAGATTAGATTTAATTTGAACTGTACATAGTACATTTAAATAATCAATGTATATTAATTATAAAAATTTTAATATTAAATTAGATCTTTTAAATTAAATTTAAATTATATTAAAAATTAAAAATTTATTTAAAATATTTTACAATTTTTGTAAAAAAATTTTAATAAATATATTATATAATAATACTTTACATTTGGATTAGATCTCATCACAGGAACGAGAACGATGAGCAAGAAACCAGTCCCCTTCGAGGGAGTAAGGAATGCACAATGGAGAGATTAATGGTAATAGCGAAAAACTAAAAAATTGAGGGGCCCAAGAAGTAAATTTCTCCTTTTGAAAGCCACCTCATTAACATGGAAAAGAAATTTTTTTTTTAAAAAAAATAACTCGTTACTCGCCAGCTTTCTTTCTCGGTCTCGTGATTAATTAGAATATTAGATGGTAGATACTCTTTCTTTTCAAGACTCCAATTTAAAAATAAAATATCTTTCAATATGCTAATATGAAGTTAGTCATCTGTTATAACTTATACGACACTAAATAAAGCAGGTAAAGAAACACTAAATAAAAATTACCGGGTAGATTAAACACAATAATATACCCCAGTAAAAAGGCAATTGTGGCTGCGAGTTAATTTGTGCGAAATCTTTCGTCTTTGTTGTTGGACTCGCGCTTGGACCGGAGCGGCGGGGAGAGGATGTGGGAATCAATTTTTCTAACGGTGATTGCGACCGCCGGCAACAACATCGGTAAGATCCTTCAGAAGAAAGGCACCATCATTCTTCCTCCGCTCTCTTTCAAGCTCAAGGCATGTCTTCCTTCATGTCCTTATTTCTTCTTTCGTTTTGTTTTCCTGTCGGGTGTTCTACTGTGTCATTACCATTATGATTTGGTTCCATTTCAATATTGTGTTTTTTTCCCCCAACAAGAAATAATGCGAAGGAAATAGTTACTGTGAAATTTAGATTTTTGTTAGCTAAATCTAGTCGCGGTCAATTCGCCTTTATTTGGAGCTTACACTTGCGAGGTTGGATGTATTTTTAATAATGGAATAGGATATGCATGTATTTTTGCATCATAGTAGATGCATGCGATTGTGTCTGCAATGCTTCATTGAAGCGAACTTGAGCGAGAATCTGGATTATTTTTTTCAATTCCGATATCCCACTTTCAATTCAAGCATTACATAGCTAAGAAGTGATCGTTCGGCTGCCGGTCAATATTGCTATTAACTCTTCGACGATTGTGTTTACAGGTCATAAGGGCGTATGCTTCAAACAAAACATGGGTGATAGGTTTCCTCATGGATATATTTGGGGCGATCTTGATGTTAAGGGCATTGTCTCTGGCTCCTGTAAGTGCTTTAGTTCATATCCTAAAGGAAAAAATGGTGGGAAAAGATTATAGCTTTTTACCCCGCTCCTTAGATGTATGTTCCTGTGACTTCTGTTTCAATTCTTTTACAATTATGGTAGAGATTTTAAGACGAATGTCACTGACTATAATTATAAGGCTGGGTCTGTATATGCAATAAAAGAGTTGAATTGAAACTTTCACCTTGGTATTATGCTTTAAAGTGGTATAGTGCTATAATATGATGCATTAAAGGGCTGTTTAGCATAATAGTATCTTACACTCATTTTACTTTTATATAGATAGTCTTTGAGGTTCTTATGATTTTTGTTGATATGAGATGACAAAAACTGGTGGGCAGTATATGCCTACAGGCATCTTAGTTACTACTTACTAGTGTACCAAGCACGTCTTGGATGGATTTTGATCTCCAAGATGTTACAAAAATTATAAACGTAACAACTCCTTTAAAGGATTCCTTGTAACATGCTTTTCCTGCACTTTTCTAGATTTTAGACCTTGGTAATTTTGTTGGTTTTCCTCCTCATATAGGTCTCTGTAATCCAACCAGTTTCTGGCTGTGGACTTGCAATTCTTTCAATCTTTTCTCATTTTTATCTCAAGGAAGTCATGAATGTTATTGACTGGATGGGCATTACCTTGGCGGGTTTTGGCACAATAGGTAATGCAAGTTTTTTTATGCCCAAGAGCGTTAAGTTATCCACTTCTGATTCCTGGGGAAAAACAATGGACAGGATTCTGGGGTAATAAGTAAAATAATCTGAGTTCTAGACTTATTGGTGTTTACATGTGTGTTAATAATTAATGGGAGAAAATTTT